GAGGACTAAGAGGGGGAAGAGGAAGGAGGAGAGGAGAGAAGGAAGAGAAAGAAGAGGAGGAGGAGGAGGAAGAAGAGAAGAGGAGGAGGAGGAGGAGAGAGAGGAGGAAAGGAGGAGGAGGAGAGGAGGAGGAGGAAGAAGAGGAGGAGGAGGGAGGAGAAGGAGGAGGAGAGGAAGAGGGAGAGGAGGAGGAGGAGGAGGAGGAGGAGGAGGAGGAGAAGGAGAAGAGGAGGAGGAAGAGAGAAGGCAGGAGGAGGAGGAGAAACAGGAAGGAAGGGAGAGGAGGAAAAGGAGGGGGAGGGGGGGGGGGGGGGGGGGAGAGGAAAAGGAGGGGGAGGGGGGAGGAGGAGGAGAGGAGGAGACTAAGAGGGGGAAGAGGAGGAGGAGGAAGAAGGAAGAGGAGGAGGAGGAGGAGGAAGAAGAGAAGAGGAGGAGAGGAGGAGGAAGAAAAGAGAGAGAGGAGGAGGAGAATGAGATAGAGGTGGAGGAGAGGGAGAGGAGGAGGAGGAGGAGGAGGAGGAGGAGGAGGAGGAGGAGAGGAGGAGGAGGAGGAGGAGGAGGAGGAGGAGGAGGAGGAGGAAAGGAGGAAAGGAAAAGAGAAAAGAGAAGGAAGAAGAAGAAGAAGAGGAAGAGGAAAAGGAGAAAAAAGAGAAGGAAGAAGAAGAAGAGGTGGAAGCAGAAATAGAAGAGGAAGAGGAAGACGAAGACAAAGAGAAGAAGAAGGAAAAGGAGAAGGAGATAGAGGAGATGGAAAAAAAGAAGTAGAAGGAGAAGGGGGAACAGAAGAAAAAAAGAAAAATGAATAATTACAACTACAGAGGCAAGGGAATGATGGAAGGAAGAGGAATCAAATGTGATAAAAAGATAAGTATCAACCATATAGCATGAAAAGAAGGAGAAGAAGGAGAAGAAGAAGAAGAACAAGAAAAAACAAAACAAAAAATAAAACACTAAAATAAATAGATACAAAGAATTCCAAGAGCCAGGTGAAGAGTCAGAGAAAATAGGAAGAATGGACGAAGAGAGAAGAGGAGGAGGAAGAAATGTAATAATTTGCAAAATTAATAACAAATGGTCCATATCAACAGTTTATTATTATCTTCTTTTTAATGTAATTATCTTTGTATACATGTCAACATCCAAAATATAACGATAAAAAAGCAAAGAAAACTGTTTTTGGTATAAATGTCTTTTTTCACAATACACAAAAGCTTTAAAAATAAAACACATATTAGCAATCTTCCCTTTTGGATAAGGCAATGATATTTGCACAACCAGGCCACGAAATTAAGTACAAATAAATACTAATAACAGTAATAGAAACAGTATTATCGGTAACAAAATAACACAAAAAAATATGAAAAAAAAAAAAAAATAATAAAATAAAATAATAATAATAATAATAATAATAATATTAATGAACATGAAAATAATATACAAAATAAATGATAATAAATTAAATCCCAACTTTTATCATAACAATCATAATGAGGACAACAGCAGAGACAAATCACAAAAAAATATAACCAATATGGGGGGGGAAAAAATAACATCAATAAAATGTATACAGTAATGACAAAGATCCTCGCATTTATATTCCCATTTCTCCTTCCTCTCTTTGCTAACAGCAATGCCTCAGAAGCTATCTTGCATGATCAGTTGTTTGCATTGCAGATGACTTACCTGTCTTGCATCAGTTCCATGAGAGTTCTTTTCCAAAAACAAAACAAAAAAATGTCAAAATACTTGGCAATGGCAGTTTGGGTCACGTAATTTTTTAAAAGAAATATCATCATGACATAAAAAAAGAAACAAAAGAAAGAATAAAGGGGGGGGGGGAGAAAGAGAAGAATTCACTATCTTCTTCTTCTTCTATCTCTTCTTCCTTTTCCTCTTGCTCTTTTCATTAAAAATTTCTGGATAACTACCTCTGTTTTTATCCATCTTTACCCTTATACATAACCACTCAGCATTGGTGACACTATACCCTATCCTATTCTGCCTGGTAGTTAGTTGTTTGTGTCGTAACACGTCTACTTATATCCATCTTCCCTTCCTGCTGTCCTAGCCCCACAAGACAATGAGCTACAGTTGTGGTACATATGTGTGCCAGATCTTACCTTTGCCACATTTGTTTTTTGTATTTTATTGGGAAAATAATGGATTTTCATAGGAAAAATCTCATGTAACATGTAACTCTATTACTACTAGATATTTTTTTCACAAAAAGTTTCTCTCTTCATTAAGAATCTCTGTAACCAGAGCAGGCTTATTTGTTTAGAACAAATATCTATGGGGCAGACTTCTTCTCTAGGTCATTTCAAACAAACAAAATTATTATTTGCAGATACTTAAATGTCACACAACAAATTAAGGCATTTTATTATCACTGGGAAGTAATAGTAATAGTTAAATATATCATAAAACATAAAAAAGTGATAAAAGTAACAGCAAAAAAATATAAAGCTGGTCCTAAAGAAGTAACTTCAGTCATCTTAACTTACTTCATACAAAAATGGCATAAACTAGCAGTGTTTACTTTCTAAAAACAATATACTTTCATAATGTAAACATGGCAAGTAAAGATATCAAAGTATAAAAAAACTAATTAAAGGTTAGACTGCATGACCTACATTTGTCTCCACAATTGCCACTCAGCACCCCTGTTTGACAACTTCACACCAGATGAATACCACAAACTCAGAGCAAGCCTAAATAACATAACTCAGACGATCCTTTCCACACTGATATCACTCAAAGCAAATGTGAAACACCACATTAGAGACAAAACAGATCCACTGGAGGAAACTCACACTTTTTGAGGTGTAGGTCATGTTGTTCCTGTTTTTGATGGTTGTGAGGTTGCCCTCCTCCACCCCCATGAGCTCTACTGCACTCCGGGTCAGGTTTGAGCCCCACCCCCGCAACCGCAGTTCCACTGGGTTCTCATTTATGACATAGAAGAAGATGTCCCGCTGCTCGCCCATTCCCAGCGTCCCAAAGTCCAGCCAAGAATCACCACCGAGAGGCGGTATGTACTGTGGAAAGCCAAGAGTTGAAGGTAATGTATTGTAGACATTCTTACTTATTTACTTACACCCTGTTTCTCTTTTGTTTCGTTTTTTTTTTTCATTAACAAGGAGAAAACTTACCTTTGTTAATTTCCCATTATATGCACGCAGAGGGATTTTAATGGTGGTGACATTTGTATGCACAGTTACTGTTGTGGAAAGCCGAGCATCTGTCCCAACACTTAGCAATCGCAGTGTTGCTACATGTGCACTCAGATTTTCCTCAATGACAACTGGCCCATCCCATCCAATCTGGAAGCAAAAAAAGTTAACACATCTACACAACTTGAACTATTCTAACTTTCACTCACTCATTCACAAAGAAAATCAATATATTATCTCATAACCCTCTAAAAGGCCAATTCATTGACTGACCAGCCCGCCACCCAAAACCGAACCCATACACCCAGTCTAACAAATGAACAGATAAGGGAGGAAGCTTGTCAGCCATAGATATGCTGCATCCGCTCACCTCGAAGTGTTTTCTGGCCTCCTCCGGGAGTGTTAGATTGTATATGACGACGGGGCAGGGAAAGGTGTTGGTAAGCGTGAGGTTGCGTGGCTCACTCCCGGGGTTGCTCGTCCCGCCACCCCCCCGCCCCCCAAGACCCCTCCCGCACCACCAGCAACACCCCCCACACTGCTGAAAACTCTTGTCTGCGTGTCCGTGGATCCTGAATCTGGAATAAGACCATATTATTACTGTCACCATCAATATCTTCTCTTTGTGATCAAGTGCATATTATCCAAATTCTTGTTTTAAAGTATGACCTTAATGAGAAAAGAGAAAAGAAAATAGAAAGAAATATATTCAGTTTGGTTAACTAAGCTTTATATGAATATACAAACACATTTTTCTGTTTCCTGACGATGTATAATTAGTTTATTAATTTGATTTTTTCTATGCTTCAAACTTCCTCTGACTTCACTCCTCGGGTAAGAAAACCCTTCTTTCATCCTTCTGGCTTGGGATTTTGTTATTTGTCAGAATATTTATGAAGAAAAAAATAAAAATAAAATAAAAAATGTCTGACACTCATATTTCTAAGTATTATATAAGTGGATGAATGGAACTGACATAAAAAAAAAAAAAATTCTTTAGAGAAAAATAACTCACCCGTATAAGGGCTTATAACTTGCTCTGAAAAAGAAGAGTGGAAAAAATAATTTTAAAAGTAAAACTAAAAATCAATAAAAATATGTAATAAAAAATTATCAAAAAGGATGTTCACCAGTAACTCTATAAAATATATGAACAATTAAAATGTACAAATAGGCTTTGGGAGAGAAAAATATACAGAACCAAACAGCAGTAACTAAACAAAATAAAAAAAGAACAAAGAAAGATGAGGAGAGAATAAGATCAGAAAAATGATAACGGTGAAAAACAGTGAATGAGAGAGAGAGGAAGGGAAAGAAATAGGGATAGGGAGAGAGGGAGTAACGGAGAGGGGGAGGGGGAGGGATGGAAGGAGGGAGGGAGGAAGGGAAGGAGGAAGGGAAGGAGAAAGGGAGAGAGGAGAGGGAGAGGGAGAGGGAGAGGGAGAGGAGAGAAGGAGAGAAGGGAGAGGGAGAGGGGAGAGGAGAGGAGAGGGAGAGGGAGAGGGAGAGGAGAGGAGAGGGAGAGGGAGAGGGAGAGGGAGAGAGAGAAGAGAGAGAGAGGAGAGAGAAGAGAGAGAGAGAGAGAGAGAGATGAGAGAGAGAGAGAGAGAGAGAGAGAGAGAGAGAGAGAGATTAAAGATTTAAAGATTCAAAGATTCAAAAATTTAGTTTCAATTCCATTTTTTACAAAAGGATATTCTTTGCTGTGACATACTGTCATTTTTAATTTTGCTTCTAAATTTCCCCGTGTGTGCAAGAAATGGCTCAGGGTTACCATCCACTGTCAGTGCGCAGGATAGAATATATGTCAGCAAAATTACTAGAACCACATGTTGGGAGGGAGGGAGGGAGGGAGGGAGGGAGGGAGGGAGGGAGGGAGGGAGGGAGGAGAGAGAGAGAGAGGAGAGAGAGAGAGAGAGAGAGAAGAGAGAGAGAGAGAGAGAGGAGAGAGAGAGAGAGAGAGAGAGAGAGAGAGAGAGAGGAGAGAGAGGAAGAGAGAGAGAGAGAGAGGAGAGGAGAGATGAGAGAGAGAGAGAGAGAGGAGAGAGAGAGAAGAGAGGAGAGAAGAGAGAGAGAGAGAGGAGAGAAGGAGGGAGGGAAAAGAGTAGGGAGAGGGAGTAGGAGAGGGAGGGAGAGAGATTAGAGGGAGGAAAAGAGAGGGGAGAGGAAGGGATGGATAAAGAGACGGGAAGGAGAGGAGGGAAAGGTAGAGGGATCTAAGGAGGGAGGGGAAATAGAGAGGGAAGGAGGAGGTAGGATGGGAAAAGAGAGGAATAGGAGGGAGGAAGAGAGAGGGAAGGAGGGTAAGGTAAAGACAGGGAAGGAGGGGAGGGGAAAGAAGAGCGGGAGAGGGAGGGGGAAGGGGAGATAGGGAGAGAGGGTGAGGAGGAAGGAGAAGGAAAGAGACCACTAAACTCACCCCTAGCGCTGCCCCGTTGTAGAATTTTGTGATGGACGTGTTATCAGAGCAGCGCAACCCTGCAGCAGAGTCCATCGGCTGAATGGCACAGTAATACCTCAGTTTATACCCGCCCGACACTTTGCTTTTGATCAAAGTATTTTTCCACCCTGAGATTCGATAGCAGACATTAACGTTATCTGAGCAGCACTATGCGCCCTCTACCGTGAGATTGGGTATAGCGCCTTCTGACTATCTCGTGCAATGTCTACATTTAGGGACATATGGATGTGATCGGTAAACGTTGAGTTGATACTTGGCAGTTACTCGAATTCTGATTGACTCGGCGCGGCGCAGACGAGAACGCCGTAGCCTACGCGGTCCAAGTCACCTAGTTCCCGGTTAAATTTACGTGACGAGAGCCATTACCATGATCCTAAAGAATTAAGAATTACTGGGCAGAGAGATACAACTTCGAGTGGGCTCTAACTGCGCTCATCGATAATATCGTATTCACTTGGTATTTATAACGGTTACAATGTATAACTTCCGGCTACAGCACTCGGGCCTGCGACGTCCGGCGACCGCACCCCCGAGCACCGCTCCACACGAGTATTTGTACTGATATAGTCACTATCTCACTACTCTGTACGAATATGTACCATGTATTACTATTGTTTCTCATGTGTTATACTCTTACCTACATCACATTTTACAATACATCAGCACTGGGTCTTTTTTCCGGCACAAACTTTGGGGTCACTATTGGAGGGCTGCGGTAGAAAAGGGAGGCAATTGGAGCCACAAATCAAATTTCGACAAGCAATGAGCCCGTCAAAACCTTTAAAAGACATGATTTGTAGAGGTATATTTACGTGTTTCTGTATATATTTGGTGTGTGTGTGCTTTTATTAATTCTTCAAGTTGCACACCTTATCCTAAGATATGGGATCTTAAATCAAGAGATGGGTGTCATGGCCAATATAAAAGAAAGTGTGACCTGACTAATCAATGACCTAGGAACAAGGTGCAGGAACTGCCACCTCTTGCTCATGAAACAGAGATGAGACTCATCTCGCCTTGGCTCAAGCAACCTATAGTGATTCCTGGATCAGATAGCCTGTGAATGGTACAGGCACAGCACACATGACTGTGAAAATTGTTGACACGCGCTAAAATGTTGGAGGTCATACTCTCAGCATCTTACCTAGTTAACTTGATCTGTTTAATATGTTCCCGAGAATAGGAAATATACATTTTTGTTGACCTGGTAATTTTGGTTCCAAATAAATTTTTCTGAGAAATAGAGCATCCCTAAATACAGAGTAAAAAAGGCTGCCTGAAAACCTGCCTGGGTCTTCTTCAGTCAAAACTATGGTCATTAAACACACACCTATGCTTGGAAATTTTCAAGTCAATTAGTTGTAACCAGATGAAACATATTAAGGGAAACCTAAAAGTTGGAAAAAGAGATAACCACACTGTAAACTCACGGTCAAATGTTACAGTTGCCACTTGCGTTGGACGCACGGTTCCTGGTGGAATTTTCATAGGCTTGAAGTCAATTGATATTGCATCATTCACTGGAGTTGTTATCACATTCTGCAAAGGATTGACGTATGTGAAGAAGAGAAATGAAAGACATACAGAGAAGAAAAACAGAAAGGAAAAAAAATAAAAAAAAGTGAAAAACTAATAATATACATTCAATTCATCAATCAAATGTAAAAGTAATACTACTCTTGCTTATCAATATCTATTTGTGCTATTAAAAACAACACCAATAGCAGTAACCTCCCTTTTCTCTCTGTCCTTACTTGAATGTGTATGTGCTTGTGGGCCGAATTAAGTAGGTGTAGCGGGAGCGTGGCAGGCGGATCGTGAGGGGTGCGCAGGCCAAAGTGGAGGCCATCCTGAGGGCAAAATAGCCCAGGCTGACTAGAAACCTCCACTTCTACTGGAACTACCAGGTAGTCACTATCTGTCTCGCTGGTTACGATTCTTGAGGGGGAAGAGAGAGAGAAAAAAAAGATATGGTTTACTTGATATCAGCTGATGGCTCAAATATCAACTTTGGTTTTCCAGTTCGGAACTTTTTGTTGGTTTGAAATTCAACTAGAAAACCAAAGTTCAAAAATGTGATAATAAGTACCTTTGTATCTTTATTTTACTATGATTTATTGGTATAATACCATTAATTTCCTTCAATGCTTAACCACTAAGAACCATAAATCTTATCTGTTCCTCAGTTGCAAAAAGACATGATTTTTTTTTTACTATACCAAATTTCAGCTCCTCACATTCAATGATTTAACACTACAGAAAATGTACATTCCATTGTCATATATCAAATACATAGAACATGACTACAACTTGAAGTTGAAAAAGTTATTGCAGTTTCCGTTGCATAAGAATATGACAAAAAAATTACCACAAACAATGTCAACACATAAAGCCTTTTTGTAGTTGACTGACATTAAAATGAAAAAAATAATCTATGCACATGCAAACCATACCTGACATAAGCGGTATGGTTATTCTCTCTGCGGGCAACAAAGTTTGCCTTCATTAGCGGGCGCGTGTGGTAGGGTGGAATGTTCCACACGTTCTTCTGCCCTTCCTGACTACCTGACAGCAGCTCCAAGTGAAGATCTCCTCCTGTACTGTACATTTCTGTGATCTGAGGTAACAAATATTATGGGAAATTAATTTCTCCTTCCAAGAGTTGTCTATTTTAATTTAATTCAATTTAATCACTTAATTTCTCCTTCCAAGAGTTCTATATTCACTTATCTTACTTCCAAGGAGCTGAAATCTGACCATATTCTTGATAAATGTGCATGTGAAATATATAATATATATATAATATATATATATATATATTATATATATATATATATATATATATATATATATTATATATATATATATATCTTTACTGTAAGATAACTAACCATCTATGAAATGATCTCGCCATACTTGTCCAGAAAAAAAGAGCCACAGCTATGAAACAATATATCACCATAAGATATGATAATAACACTGCATTCTCATCAATATATAATCCCCATATTGAAAGAAAATTTACAAGAAAATCCTGATATCAAATGCACAAAAAAAAAAAAAAAATCCTCACCTGTAGAGCATGTGGATGTGGGTTGTGCAACTGAATTAGAGGAGAGTATGAAGAATTGAGAGGCATGCGCACCCCTACCAAGGGCCTCAGCCTATAGGGATTCCCCGTGCCCACTGCCCGCACCTGGAATGGAAGGCGACGTCTTAATGCCTTGCCCCGCTCAGCTTTGTTTAGTCCTTGAACCTAAG